ACAGAGTATCACTTAATCTTCTGGTCCTTGTAAGTTAAAATCTTTTCCCTGTTCCTTTTAACTAACACAGAAGCAAGGATCTAATTGCACCTCTATACAAGTCGGATATAAAAACTAAACCTGATGATACTCTACAGAGTATCACTTAAATTTATAACCCTTTATTGTAAGTTAAACCTTTTTCCCTGTTCCTTTTAACAAACACAGAAGCAAGAATCTAATTGCACCTCTATACAAGTCAGATATAAAAACTAAACCTGATGATGCTCGACAGAGTATCACTTAATCTTCTGATCCTTGTAAGTTAAAACCTTTCCATGTTCCTTTTAACTAACACAGAAGCAAGAATCTAATTGCACCTCTATACAAATCGGATATAAAAACTAAACCTGATGATACTCGACAAAGTATTACTTTATTTTCTAACTCTTTATTATAAGTACCTTTCCCTTTAATGCTCATTTCATTTCCCTTGCAGAACGCAATTTTCTTGCACACGCGATATTCGAATTATATATAGGGAAGGAAGTATTTAAAGGAAGGTTTGGGAAGGTGAAATAGGAGCGTGTTCTGCCAACACTTCCTAACAGAATAATAGGTACTGGTTCTGCCTGCCGGAAGTTGCTAACTTCGATTGCCTAGCAATTAGAATTCTTGCTAAACTGTTAAACCGTTAGGCTATACTTAACTTCATCAGATTTTAAGTTATTCACTACCTTTTGATTCAAACCAAAAGTGTTACAAAGCACAAGTTGGTGCCGACTGTTAAAATTTATTTAATCTAATAAAGGGTTCTTTACACCCTTCTTCTCACTTTGTAATTCTTTGAAGGACGTGGTGGTAATTCATCAAACAATCTTCAACTTCGCGTCGCGTATATGATAGCTAAGAAAATACGACTTTATAACTCAATAGTGCGGAGCTTATGTCTTTCATGTTTAATACTACCTACATCTGTACTTATAAAGAATACGCTACGAGCTATAATAGACAAATAAAGTTATTGTAAGCTTCGTTTACATGGTATGCCTTTCTCGCAAACTTTTTTAACAAAGTATTTGGCATAAATATTACAGTCCTACACAAAACTATAAACTACGATTTCTAACAATTTTTTTTTAAATTTAGGTGCGAAAAATGCAGAAATTTTCTCATTTGGTATGACGTTCTTATTTACTTAGATTTGTAACCGACATTTCTCTATTGTTGTTTAAACAAACAGCAATTTGCTCACGAACTTTATAACGCATATTTTGTGATCTAGAAATCATAGCCTTGCGTGCGTCTATCTCAGAATACTCATTTTGTTAAGTTAATAATTAAGACAAAGTTCTTAAAAGCTATTTCAGTGTCGCATTTTATTTTCATTTTTATCATGGTCTATTTATTTTATACGTTGTGAAAGTAATACATGTTAAATATATGTATTTTTAGCAGTCAAATATAATGGTTACATTGAGCACTAATACATGTCCACCAAGAAATGAAAATCTCGGCACTAGTCAATACATTTGTCTCTGTCTGTCTGTCTTACCATTAAATGTGCAATTAGTATGGAACGTAGCGCTACGTTACGTAACAACCAAGACTGTCAGCTAGTGGGTGTGGGAAATTCTTTAAATATTATCTGCCAAATGAATGACGATTTCATTGACTAATTTCATCTACTAATGCAAACTGCTTTATTACATTCCACAAGAAAATATACGTGCATCTATGCAATTTCACTCCAGAAATAAAACCTACCTCTCAATCCGGATAGTGGTTAGCGACGCTGACTGTCATTCCGAAAGGCCCGGATTCGAATCCCGGAGAAGGCAGGGATATTTATAAATGTATAGTGTCTGCGCGGCATGGGGGAACTTCAAATATGTGGTGAGCTAAAAGTCTCTCGAGAGGTTAACGGTAGGGGAAGATGAGGGCTCGCATCCGTCCTCCCGGGATGCTCTCCATTAGAATTGGGAGGGGCGGAATTGAGCAAACTCGTACTGTCACCTGTATGCTCAAAACTGTTGCCAACGGCAGACGCAATCTTGCACTCTTGCCACGATGAATTTCGTGGGCTTGTTCTAATGTTACTGTCAGACAAGTAAGATAAGTCACAACAACAAACCTGGGAAGTCTCGTGATAATTAATTACGTAAGCACTGGTCTGTCGTTACGATATAAAAGTGGGATTTATTTACCATTTCGTTTCGAACCTGCTGTTGTATTATTTTCGGAGCAAACATGTTCTTCTGTATAAGACTTTAGAATAATTTTCCAATGCAAATTTTAGCTGGAATTTCATACAACTGTTTGTATTGTTGCGTGCATATGTGTTCGTAGCAGATTTAATGCACACAAGTCCGCATGTTAGGTTGATAAAATTTATTTTATTTTTATCTTTTTAAATTAAATTTTATTATTATTATGCGACATTGACAAATAGCTTGTTTATTATCCGGATGTTAGGTTGATAAAAAATTTATTTTATCAACCTATGATCCGGATGATCCGGATACATATGGTCCGGATGATAGTTTGATAAAATAAATTTTATCAACCTATCATCCGGACCATGAAATTTATTTTATCAAATTAATATAATTAAAATTTATTTTATCAAAAGAAACTCTTCAGAGTTTAGGAACTTACCACAAAAGTACTCGTACAGAGGTTCACAATATCACAGAGTATCAGTAGTTATACTTAAAACTATTAAGAATGCTAAATACAATATAATGCAAAGCGAAAGAGCGAAGCTAACAAGGACACTTTACGGTACTCCGAACACACGTGAACTAATAACTCGAAACAGCAACTGATGAACTGATGCTCTATCCACTCTTGTATAGTTTTTACCCGGACGCCGAGATATTTCTAGTACTTTTCTGCTTCTCGAAATCATTAAAATGCATATGTGGGGCGAATACGGTTACAGTTACATAGGAAAGCAATTGCAGATTTCAGTTACAATGCTTATTACAGGGACGAACCCAAATGGTCGCCAAATTTGGTGATTTTGGCAATTTTTTTGCCAAATTTAGCGACAAAATTAGTTGATTCTACTATTCAAACTCGATTCTACAACTCAAAATATGCCATTGTGCCAAGTTTTGTAAAAATCTCAAGTAGTTTTTAAAAAATTAGCCCTCAAAGTTTTAGCTTCTCAATATTAATTAAATTTAGTAATTTTTGTAAAGATCTGTTTTTATTATTATTATTAAACTTTGTTATTAAACTTGATTCTTTCTTTCACAGCTCGAAATTTAGGTTCAATCCAAATAAAATTCGAAAGTTTTTTTTTTTTTTTTTTTAGTAATTATTATAAATCTTTCGAAAAAAAATTTTAGACTATGACCTATGAAATTTTTGCCGTCACCTTAAAGTAGATGTATTTCTAGGCGCACTTGCAAAAAATAAGTTTTTTATTCAAAACTTCGAAAAAGATATATATTGGCGCGTTTTGAAATATGACATATTTGGTATAAGCGATAATAACGCCTAATGTGGTTCAAGAACTTTGGTAAAATTATTTGGTGGTATGAACGATGACCTTTTATTCCTCTTATGCAGAGTGAAAGGGAAAGAGGGAAAGAAAAATTGGTTACCGTAAATTAAGAATTTCGCCAACTGAATTATTCTTTGCGCAAATGTGTGCCAAGATAAATTTTTTAATTTGTAGGCAAATTTCTCACAAAATTTTTAAAAAATTAATATTTAGGCATTATTTGTGTCGTAGAATTCAAATATGGAACAAAATAAGTATGACATTTTAGAAAAAGGCCCGATTTTGTGTCAAAATACTTTCGTTACAACAATTCTATATATATCTTAAGTCGCGCTTTTGAGACATGAAAAACACAAGTTAAATTTCATTAATCGACCTAGTATTGACCAATGTCCCATTTTTTGGGCAAGGTGTACAAGTATTTAATATTAAATTAAACTACTCAAGTATTAATAATAAAAAGCAGTTGTCAGTAATAATTTATATTTTTTTATAATGGAAGTAAAAAAGAAAATTCCTACATTGTTTCTTACTGAAGAAACTGTATTTTGTGAGATCAAAATAACGCAGTGATTAAAATAAAATTTATTTCAAATGTATGCAAAAACTAAACTTTTCAAAGTTCGTTAGAAACCTTCATTAGAAAACAGCTAAAACATTATGTTAAAAATTGCGCAAATGGTCTGCTCGTACTGATATTAGACTATGCATTCGGAGAAAATCAACAGCAGGTTCTTCTTTTTCAAACCTCAAAATATTTTGATAATAATTTAAATTTAATTTGTATTAATGAAAAAATAAGTTTGTATAATGCTTTATTTTTTGAATGACACTTGGTTGAAAGCATTCAAAGTTACCTGCCTCAAATGATGGAATCTGGTGGGGAATATTTCATTCAGTGTCTCTTAGAATTTGTAGAGTATGAACCAACTTACGATGCACGTGGGGAAAACCTCAAAAATGTCATTCATTAAATTCTTTCAATCGCAGGTAACAGAAATTGAAACAAATTACAAGAGTTCATAATCTTTGGCATCCAGTTCTCTTAAAATACGTACAGAGTTCCTCTAAAACTGGCTACATTCTTGAGTTAAACCTTGCCCGTTTTAGAATTTATGTTTATATGTTTCTCTTGCATCCAACAGCCAAGGAGTACTTTTATCTGTATCTAGCAGCAAAAAAGTAATACAGCCATTCATCTTTTTTTCGTTGGCGAAAACTTAGCCGACTTAGGCTTGGCCACAACTAGAGCTAGAAGTGGTGGCCACTTCATTATGGAAACATCTAATTGGTGGACTACCGTTACCTCCTACAAAGGGACGAACAATTACAGCCATTCCTTCTCCGAGATTCGAAACTGGGCCCTTCGGTATCGCAGTAGGCGACTCTATCCACTATACCGTCTGGGGTCTCATCTTCTTTTAGTTGTTGGATGTATGTTTCTTCAATCTGGATGTATGTTTCTTCAATGTATGTTTCTTTTCTCTGTACTTTATTTTATCTATAGGACAATCTGCTAAGTGCTGTGGGTCATTTTTTCCATCAAGAACACGCATTGACACTGGACCTTTGCAGAGGGAAGCTGGGCCAGCTACGTTTCAAGTTGAAGCTGTCAATGAGACAGACGTTTATCCACCAGCTCGGGCAACAGATTTGAGGCTAGTATGGAGCTCTGACCGAATCTTTACATTAAGTTGGACAGCAGTTGGAGACGACTATGATTCTGGAGTTGGTAAGTAATATTAATCTCTAGTTTGTTTAACTTCATCAGCAGTTTTCCAAGCCAAGTGCGAGTACTGTCTGTCTACGAGAAGAATGGTGCCCCCCACAGTGTCTGGCGGGTGGCGGTCGTTATAGCAACAGGGCTAGTATATTTCAAATAGGGGTGAACCAAGGGTTGCCAATTCATCTTAAAATGCGCCAAGATAGCAAACTGAAAAGTAAATCTTCAAGATACTAATTCAGAAGTCAAACAACAAAAATCAGCGTTATACCTACAAAATTTTCACGGGACTAGTTTCGATGGTTTTACCGAACCATCATCTTCAGCTGCAAAACCGCAAATGAACAAGTAGGAAATAATGATTAGATAAGATAAGAAAGCCTGGAAAAGAATAAGCAAGTGGCGCCATCTGTTGGCAAAACCAGAACTAAAACATAATTTTTCTAAAAGCCGAAGGCAAATTTGGATTGGAATTAGGATCGTTAACTAGAACAGAAAGATTTTTATAAATGTGAAATGCCTCTAGAAAATCCAATTCTCCAATGGAAGATGTTTTTTGAATAATTTTGGCAGCAGAAAAATTGAAAGAGTGATTTTCGGACCAACAATGTTGAGCAACAGAAGACTTCTGTGTTTCCTTTTTTCTAACATATGCCTCATGTTCTTTGACGCGAAATTTTAAGGCTCTCTTAGTTTGGCCAATGTAAATTAAACCACACTGGCAAGGAATCCTATAAATACCCCAGGAATTCATATCCGGAATGGGGTCCTTCAGTATAGAAGTTGGAATTTTATTGATGGGAGAATAAACAACCCGAAAGTTAAATTTCTGCAAAATATGTGCAACTTTATAGCTAATTGATGGAAAGAAGGGAATGACAACAGAATTTTTATAATCTCCTAAAATAAGAGTGCGTCTTTTAGTGTGTTGAGATGAGAATTTTTTAACTGCTTGATTAATAATGTTGGGTGAAAACCCCTGTCAATAGCTATTGCTTTTAAATAATTTACTTCTTCATAAAGGGCTAGTTTGGAGGAGCAAACTTGTAGAGCACAAACGTAGGAATAAAATGAAGCTAACTTTTGTTTAGTCGGATGACATGATTTAAAGTGTGGTGGAAGGCAAACCGATGAAGGTTTACGGTAAACCGTAGTACTGAAGTTGGATGTGTTACGTGTGACCAGAATGTCGAGAAACGGAAGAGAATTGCAAGTCTCAAGTTCAAAAGTGAACTGAATAGCAGGATCAATAGAATTCATTGTTGAAAGAACTTTATTTAAATCATCTTTATTACCTTCAAACAGGGTAAAAGTATCGTCTACGTAGCGGAACCATGCCGGGAAGTTTAAAGTTTTAAACAATTTTGATTCATAATAATGCATGTAGATATCAGCCAGGATGGGACTGAGGGGGCTTCCCATGGCTAATCCCTCAGTTTTTGCTTGTAATATTTATTTTGGAAAACAAAATGTGTTTGTTTCAAACAGAGTTGAGTGAGAGAAATTAGCTCATCAATTTCGATGCAAGAGAAATGAAATTCGCGAAGTCTGGTTTCTAGACATCTTAATGCACCCTCCACTGGGACATTGGTGAATAATGATATTTTACATCAAAAGAAACCATGAGTAAATTACTAGGAGAAATGTTTTTTAACCTTTTTTTACAAACTCTATTGAATTTTTATGGTGTAAATGTTTATTGTCTAATAGAGTGGAAAATCTAGAAACTAAATATTTAGCTAAAGGATACGAGGCAGTACCTAAATTTGATACAATACGACGGAAAGGAATACCACTTTTATGAATTTTGGGAAGAGCATATAATCTGGCACAATTCGCAACAGATGGGATAAGCGAATGTTTTAAGTTGCTTGAAATGATTTGCGAAGATTTGATCGCAGTTTTTATTTTGGATAAGTCCGAAGGTGAAGGATCTTTAGGGATCGGATTATATGGTCCTTCGTTTAAGAGTTTAGTGACACCATCGATGTAAGTGTTCTTATCCATGACGACTATCTGGCCACCTTTGTCGGCCTTTGAAATGATAATATCCGGGTTAGAATGAATTTCGCGCATTGTAGCTCTTTCTCTCGCAGTTAGATTTGGTTTCAAAGGTTTATTATTGAATTTCACATTATGAGCGATAAGATGCCTAATCATTTCTTTCTGTGAATCTGAAACTTTACTGAACTTGAAAGCTTTTTCGATAGGAACCAAAATCTTTGGAATCGAGGGTTTACAGGTTTGTGAGAAAGGGCTTGACAGGGGCTTTTCACCCAACATTATTAATCAAGCAGTTAAAAAATTCTCATCCCAACACACTAAAAGCCACACTCTTATTTTAGGTTATTATAAAAATTCTGTTGTCATTCCCTTCTTTCCATCAATTAGCTATAAAGTTGCACATATTTTGCAGAAATTTAACTTTCGGGTTGTTTATTTCTCCCATCAATAAAATTCCAACTTCTATACTGAAGGACCCCATTCCGGATATGAATTCCTGGGGTATTTTTATAGGATTCCTTGCCAGTGTGGTTTAATTTACATTGGCCAAAATAAGAGAGCCTTAAAATTTCGCGTCAAAGAACATGAGGCATATGTTAGAAAAAAGGAAACACAGAAGTCTTCTGTTGCTCAACATTGTTGGTCCGAAAATCACTCTTTCAATTTTTCTGCTGCCAAAATTATTCAAAAAACATCTTCCATTGGAGAAACTGGATTTTCTAGAGGCATTTCACATTCATAAAAATCTTTCTGTTCTAGTTAACGATCTTAATTCCAATCCAAATTTGCCTTCGGCTTTTAGAGAAATTATGTTTTAGTTCTGGTTTTGCCAACAGATGGCGCCACTTGCTTATTCTTGTCCAGGCTTTCTTATCTTATCTAATCATTTTTTCCTACTTGTTCATTTGCGGTTTTGCAGCTGAAGATGATGGTTCGGTAAAACCATTGAAACTAGTCCTGTGAAAATTTTGTAGGTATAACGCTGATTTTTGTTGTTTGACTTCTGAATTAGTATTTATTCGGCGTGTTATTGTGTCTTAACTTCAAGATACCCCTATGGAAAATTGGACAAGGCTCGTTTCTACGGCAACAGACAGCTGCAGACTAAATGGCGAGAGCTTTTCTTATGATAGATAGACTGTACGAAGCCTTCTTGACCTACGGTACCCTAGGGTCTAATTCTACTTCTCTTTCTTGTTTCTAAATAGCCATTTAGCTTTATTCCTGTCCTCTTTCATCCTTTTGCTTCATAATCATTTTCGGTCTGCTTCTTTCTATCGAAAATCAATGCTTCTGATGAGTGTTTTAACGATAAATAATATTTCCCCTGTGCAAGATTTGCGTTTATTTATGTGTGAAGTATTTTTATTGGAATTTAATTTATACTCGAATAACGCAAGTAATAGTAATCTGTTTCCAGTTAAACTTTGAGAAATATTTCTGAATCTTATTTGATTTCATTGCAATTAACCTATTTTATTAAAAAAATTATTCTATTTTTGCTAATATTATTGAAATCTTCATAGTTCTATGTGTTAAGACGTCCATGTAGACCAGAGCTCTCAAACTGGCTGCCTACAAAGCAATTTTATGCAGCCCACCAGGACATTTGAATCATGTATTTGTTGCAAAGGTTATTTTTTCTCTATTAAAAAAGAACAAGAACAACGGACCATAAAATCTGTAAACTAAGCTAATCAATTTAAAGTAATCATGATTCAAAATTTTGACGATAAAGATTTTATTAACTTTTATTCGTCAAAAGATAAATAAGCTCAGTTACGAATTGTTGCTCTAAAAATGATCGCTTTGCATGAGAATACATTTATGTGAACAGCTCTTTTTCACAGTTGAAAATTAATAAGAAAATTACCCGACTGGCTGAACATCTATAATCCGTTATGAAGATGATGATTTCTATTAATTTCTCTCCATACAAACTTTATCAGAATCGAAACGCCATCAAATGCCAAGCAACTGTTAAGTAATAAAAGAAGTTTATAATTATTTACGTACATACGTATTCTTATGCATGCTGCTTCCCAAACGGCATGGTGGTTAAAAGAGCCTTCTACTGTATCGAAAAGCCCCGGTTCGAATCTTGGAGAAAGCATAAATGTAACTGTCCCTTCATTAGAGGCAACGTTGACCTGTCATTAGGTGCCTCCACAGTAAAATTGCCACCATTTCTGGACTTAGCAGGGACCAACGCTGAATACGGAAGCGCCCGCTACTGAATAAACAAACAAACAAACAAACAAAAATCGGAAAGCTTTCAGAGTTTAATTACCCCTAATGGGGCTCTTTTTCCCCCCATTTAAACACACGTACACTTTTCGAGATCATTAGGGCTCATGTCCCTTTGGGTTAAAAATATTCAAAAAAAGCATGTCTTTAAAATTTCCGATAGACAGTCTCGCGCATTGGAGATAATTTTTCCCCCTGTTGAGTGTTCCCATTGCTTGCATTAAAATCGTTGAGTTTGTTAATAAAAAATTCCTTAAAGTTTTACAAAATATGAAACAGACAATAAAACAAATTCAACTTCAAAATTCGATCTTCTAGGTGCTGTTCGGGTGGTGGACTACGTTATTCAAAATTTGTGGACTCTAGGTACTGTTGGTTTTTCATACTGCTAGAAAGATACGCACATTCATGCAGATTTTTCCTTATTTAATTACTTTAAATATTATTCAGGGCGATAATGTTTGGTGGCAACAATTTGAAAAGGGATATAGCCTTTATATGTTATATTCGATGCAAAATCTCGATTGGAGGCTAAGAGCTCTTATGGGCTAACGCCTCTTTGGGCTTAAAAAAAATTATTTATGCATGGAAGAAAGATTTAATAAATTAAAGAATAAGCCTAAATTATCATTATATTATCTCAAGTTCGTAAAATTTTCTCTGCTAACGTACAAAGTTTTCATAATTTGGTTATTTTTTGTATAAATTAAAGATTAATTAAACATATTAGAATTTATATGCCTTGCATGTTAGAAATT